GAACTGAAACCAGGCATGTCCACTGTCAGCCAGAGATGGTACCAGTGAGAGTAATTCATCCATTGCAGTATCCTGATATTTTGCCAGTCACCCTGTAATACCCCTCTATTACCGTACACAAACCAAGTACTAATGAGTACAGGCCTGTTCAGGATCTCAGAGCTGTTAATAATGCTGTTGTCACCATCCACCCTGCTATCTCTAATCCCTAAAACCTGCTTGACTTAAGCCCTAGCGGGGCTTCCTACTATACTCTTCTGGATCTGAAGGATGCTTTCTTCTGCCTGAGAGTGGCAGAAGAGAGCCAACGTATATTTGTCTTCCAATGGGAAGATGCTACAACCGGAATCAAGAGACAATTAACCTGGACAAAACTACCTCAAGGCTTCAAAAACTCCCCGTCCCTGTTTGGAGAAGCACTCAGTCAAGATCTGATGGATTTCACGTCTGAAGCCAGGACACTGTATCCTCCTGCAATATGTGTGTGACCTCCTCATTGCTGCTACTCTGCGATACAAGTGTCTACAAGCTACCAACCAACTGCTGCGAATTCTGTGGGAAGCAGGATACAAGGTATCCAGACGAAAAGGCCAAATATGCTGCACAGCAGTCAAGTAATTAGGATTCCATATCTCAGATTCTGTTGCATGTGGATACCTAATTTTGCTATTATCGCTAAGCCTCTCTATGAGGCCACCAGAGGCCCTGAACATGACACATTTCTATGGGAACAAAAGCAACAGATGGCTTTCAGAACCCTGAAGGAGGATTTGGTCCAAGCCCCAGACCTTGGACTTCCTGATCACCAAAGAGTGTATTACCTGTATGTCCAGGAGAAGAGTAAATCTTCTGCAGGTGTTCTCACCCAGATATTTGGGCTCCTGGCAGTTTCCTGTTGCATATCTGTCCATACAACTGGATCCAGTGGAGGGCAGTGCCAGCAGCCGCCCTCCTTGATGCAGAAGCTGATAAATTGACCCTAGGACAAGAACTCTATGTCCATGTTCCACATGCCGTCCAAACCCTCCTTGACTACAAGGGCAACCACTGGTTTAGTAAAGGTAGAATAACAAAGTACCAAGCCATGCTATGTAAAAACCCAAGGATCCACCTTGAAACTGTGAACGCACTGAACCCAGCCACTATCCTAGAACCTGACCAGACCTAACATGACTGTATGGAACTCATTAATGAAATTTTCCCTAGTAGACCTGACCTCCAAGACTACCTCCAGGAAAAAACAGATGCCAAATACTTCAGTGACGGCAGCAGTTTTGTTAAAAGCGAGATCAGATATGCAGTCACTACTTCAAAGGGTACCTCTGCACAAAAGGCTGAACTAATACCCCTGACCAGGGCCCTGCAACTGGCTGTGGGCCTACGTGTCAACATCTACACTGACTCAAAGTATGCATGCCTTACAACTCATGCCCATGGGGCCCTGTACAAGGAACAGGGCCTACTCAACTCTAGAGGAAAAGACATCAAGCATTCATCTGAAATTTTGGCACTACTCAAAGCGGTCTGGGTTCCTGTTCAATTTAGCATTTTCCATTGCCGTGCCCACCAGAACGGCAACACCCATGTGACTATTGGAAACAGGCTGGCTGATGGCACTGAAAAACATGTTGCTATGAAAGACTCTGTACCTCAGTCAACCCTTGCCCTGCTGTTCCCGGTACCCATCTGACTGGTCACCCCTATAAAGCCCTGTTGAACAAAAATGGATGGAAAAAAAAGGGGCCTTTTCCTGAATAACAAGTGGTACCAATTAGAAGATGGGAGAATAGTTGTACCCACGGCACTGGCCATGAAAATTGTAAGAACTCTTCATGAGTCCACCCAATCATCCATGAAGGCTACACTTAACCGTTTCTTCCACCTACCAGGCCTGTCTACAGTAACACAAGCAGTGGCCAGAGGATGCATGGAAAATGCCAAAAATAACCCTCAACAAGGTCCAAGCCAACCATAAGGGATTCAAACTGTTGGAGCATTGCCTATGTCTGATTTGCTCACTGACTTTACTGTTATGCCAAAATCTGGTGAATTTCACATTGTCCTTGTTATTGTATGCTCTGGCTGGGTAAGAGCATGACCAACCAGAACAGAAAAAAACAAAGAAATGGTCTGATTCCTACTCTCTGAAATCATCCCAAATCAAACCAACTTTGCTCCCCAGTGCCCTGTTCCGGATCAGGAGTGCTCCCACAAAACTCACCAGCCTCTTCCGTTTTGAAAACATGTACAGTCGACCACTACTGAGTGTCCTAGGCCTTAAAGGGGACCTCCACCAAATAGGAGGAGAGATCACATGTCAACAAGTAGTACACCGTGAAAGTTGCTGAGATCATCCCGTGGATCCACCACTCCAGAATCAAGCCTGCCTCTATTCCATGGGAAGTGACTTATGCTGATCCTGACAATCCTCTGAAAGTCTGCTGTAAGAGAGTGAAAATACCTGCTGGAGAAAATTCCAACAAGTAGGTGTTTTGATGGCCATAATAATGCCTGAGGCCCCCAAAGGAGACCTTGCGAGGCCGCACAGAATCAGAAGTACTCCTTACGCATGGTCGATTCTTCTTCAGGATCATCTGCTCATCTTGAGTTTATGGTGATATTAATATTGAATAAATTACCTGAGTCCACCTGTACTGAGGTGGCATGGGAAAGATCATAGTGGAGCTTACTCAGAAAAAAAAAGTTAGTTTCCTTTTTTTAATTAAAACAGTGGGAGATCCTAAATTAATCTTAGAAATTACACTCAAAGTGAGAAATACATTTATATTTAATGTAGTGTTCCTTAAATAGTAGTTAAATAATCCAAAATAGAAAGGGGGTATGCTCAAATGAGCTTACAATGGATAAAGATTTGAGGCATATATTAGGATCATATACATATATTAGGGATATGTTAGGTGTCTTGCCTAGAGACACTTACTGGTAATGTGGTCTGAAACCAGAATTTGAACCTGGGTTTCTTGGTTCTAAGGTATGCAATTATTAACAAAATAATATAATATATGTGGCATTCTGAATCTTTTGACTTGCCTATTTCATCAATAATTTAGCAGTAAATGTAATGTTTTGTTTATATCTTGTATTCTTATTCATGCCCTGAGTGCATAGTTACCAAACATGTATGCCTTTGTCACTTTCTGTGTAACTTATAAGGTCCACTTAGAAACATGCCCTAATTTTGACTTGCCTCTTTGCTTGCTTCCATGGATGCTATTCTGGACCACCATACAGCCCATTAATACTTTGATGCTATTAACAACTATATTTAACCCAGGTAACTTAGCTAACCCTAACTAAACTTCATGCTAGCTAACCCTTGATAACCCCAAATAACCTTAAAGCTTACTAACTACAACAATAGCTAACTCTAACCCTAAACAAAACTAATCTTAAACATTAGCTAACTTTAAACTAATCTTACCCTTTCCCTAGCTAATTCTAACTGTCCTTAACTCTTGTTAACTCTAGCCTTCCTTAACCCTGGTACACAATGATTTAGACATGTATCAGTTAAAGAGACGGTCTACAGTCCTGTAATATAGACAGGTGTAGGAGCACCGTGACAGCAGTCACTGCAGACATATTTCTGGATGTCTCATGCTTGGCAGAAAAAGCCCTGTACATGCCATGATCAAAGCACACAAAATGATCAAATGCCTTAGACAATACCAGGAAAACTATTTCTACACTCGCTCTAGTTAGGAGTCCAGGAAGAGTGGAACCCACTATTTAAAGACACTTCTAATAATGTAAAGAATACATCATTGATCATTAAGTACACAAGTGACCAAGATGTACATCCACTAAGAGGTTAAAGAGGCAACCCGTTTCTTTGTTCTCTCACTCTCTTTATACCAGCTTTGTTACAAAATTATTGTCTGTCAGTGCTAGATGTCATGTCTGTACAGAGCACATTTTTCTATTGTCTTATTGATTTCTTCAAATTACATTGTATGTCTGATGTCTTGAAATATATAGCAGATTAAGGGCTTGATTTTATGGGCCATGATACATGAAACAATATTAGTCTTGGGTGTCTTGTACAATTTTTCTGTACAACAACATGGCTATTCTGTGGCAGGTCCAGGGAAATTGAAAACATACAAGAAGTACTTTTTTTTATCAATCTAGATGTCAATTTCCCAATGGGCAAGGTAGAATTGCATGGGACAATAGAAGGATACAATTGAAGTTGCCTTAGAAAAACATTTAGACTGTAAATAACCCCTTAATGACCAAGTTTTTTTTTCTCTCATTCAATGTTTTATTGAGGTTTTTCAAATATAGATGGGGAAGAGGTACAGAAAAAAGCTAAAAGGTGCGTTGGGGTAGGGGATATGCATTGGTGTATTGCGTTACATGACAACAGTATACCTGAGGCATATGGTTTTAAGATCACAATTACATTAGAGTACATTAGAGTACATTTCTGTATGGGAGCCGGATGGCAGCCCTTAGGGAAATCCCTATTCGTACTTGATGGGTAAATTTCAGGGTGGCCGTGAAAAACCTTCGATGATGTTTTCAATACATTGTATGATATATTCAAGTTATTGTCCCTTGTTACATTCTCTTTTAGTGCATGTTACATTTTCCTTTTACATTTTCCTTTCATACACCCTTACCAGATCTCCGTGTCGTGCCAGTGCCTCCTTAGATTATGTGAGATCATTAGACTTGAGATATGTTCTCTGGCATTGTGGATCGATGAGCTGAAGCGGTGATTTCAGTTTTTGATTAGAAGAAAAGGTTGGGGGTAGCAATGTATTCTGATGGGTCAGGTACTTGTTTGAGGGCCAAGAATGGTGAGAGAGAATGACCACTATCTTTCCAGGACAGTGGACCGGGGTCTGTCAAGATAGATTTACATTCAGTGGGTGATGGTCTAATATGGGCCCTTAGCCCTAGATGCTCTGCAGGGTGCATTGAGGTATACCTCCAGGGCACATGAGGTAGAGATTTCTACCAGTGGGATCTGCTCAGGTGCGGCTAGGCCTGCCATGTGGGGGTATGTGGGAGGTATGTGTATCCCAATATTCTACCCATGGTATCCAAGAAGTCTGGAAGTGTTTACTTTGTGCAGTGGTCTTAGTGGACATGCGTTCATATATGTAATATTGTTGAATTTTGGATAGTAGTTGGAGTTTGGAAGGACAGTGTGGTTGCTTCCACTGGCTCGCGATTAGGTTTCTCGCCACCAATGCAGCAATTGTCATTATACGTTTTGTGGGCACTGGTGTTGGCCGAGGATAGGAGAGGAATAACCCAGTGTGTATGTCAAGGGGTGGATCAGTGATTCCAATAGCCTGCAAGGTGTTCTGCGCCTCTTCCCATAATGGACGTATACGTGGGCAAGCCCACCAAATATGGGTCATTGTGCCACTGTCAACCCCACATCTCCAGCAATACGGCGAAACTGCCTCATACATCTTGTGGAGCCTGTGGGGTGTTAGGTACCACCTGTAACTTCTAACTTCTCGTGGGCCTCAATGTGGGAGTAACAGTGTGTTAGACCTTTTGAGGGTGGTAAGGGATGACAACACTTCGGTGTCGGACGTGAGCAGGTCGCACTCTGCAAGCCATTGGCTCATGAATGCCAGAGGTGGTGTTGTCTGGAGAATGGTGTGGTAACACAAGGAGAGGGATTTGCGTTTGGTTGGGGCCTTCCAGCATCTATCATACAATGAGTCGAGGTCGACAGAACTTGAGTTTCCAGGGACCGTACAGGTGGAGACATGCAAGGGTATTATGCTTTTGAGTTGCATATATGAGAACACTGAAGAGTTAGGTCATTTAAATTCTCTCTGCAGGTCTGGGAATGGCTTGATGCGATTGAGGTACATAACCTGGTCTAGCATGGATATTCCCAGTTTAACCCAGGAGTTGAGTGAGAGCCAGGGTGATACTGCTCGTAGGGCTGTCAGTGGGGAACGGGGGGGAATTTGTACGTGGTGTCTTGCCTGTGTCGCAGTGTGTGCCAGTGGTGAAGAGCTAGGGTAGTGGTGGGGAAGAGGGTTATATCTTTAGGGCACAATGTCTTAGGGGTCCATAGAATATTTACTAGGGTTGTGTAAGGAGAGTTTGCTTTCTCCATGTCTACCCATTGGTACCCTCCTTTGGGGGCATGTAGTTTCACTGCCGTTTCCAAATTGGCTGCTTCATAATAGGTGTAAATGTCTGGGAGGCCTACCCCACGTTCGTCCGCCTATCTCTGTCAAAATCGTTGGGAGAGTCTGGGTTTGCCGGAGTCCCTGATGAAGGAGGACAGAACCTGTTGGAGATTCTTAAAAAACATTGGTGGGGACAGGATGTGTAGTAGACAGAATATGTACAGTAGTTTTGGAAAGAGAATCATTTTAATGGTGGTGATTCTACCCAGCCATGATAACTTTACCGATTTCCAGCAGAGGCATTCTGACTTGCAAAGGTTGAGTAGCGGTTTATAGTTATGGTTGAATATTTGGTCCATTCTGGGTGCAATTTTTACCCCTACGTAAGTGATATAGTCGTCCCTTCATTCAAAGTTATACGTTTGTGTAAGGTCTTGAATTAGGGTTTGCAGAGTCCTATGGGTAGGGCTTGTGTTTTAGTTTGGTTTCATTTAGAGCATGCTAGTTTGCCATATGTTTCCTGGAGCTGTAATAACGCAGGCAGCGACGTGGGCACTTCGCCCAATGTTAGCAGAATATCATCCGCAAACATGGAGAGTTTGAATTTGGTCAAGCCTAGCTTGATGCCTTTGATGGTGGGATGGTGTCAGTGGCGGATCCGGGGGGGAACGGGGCAATTGCCCTCCAAGAAAACTAAGGGTCTCACTCTCCCCTTCCAGCACATGCAGGCGCCAGCCCTGCAATGTGCCTTCACGGACTGGAGGGGAGATCAAAGATCTCCCTCCCCGGTATGCAGGCACTATGCTGGTAGCTGGAAGGGGAGGGAGGGAGAGAAGACCCAGGAGCACACACTGCCCTGGAGCTACGGGCTAGAGTTCACTCTCACCACTGCGACCACCAGGGATTCCCCACCGGACCACCAGGGATCGAGAAATGTCCCCTCTCCTTCCTTAGTAGAGGTAAGAAGGGAGGGGGGACATAATGTATATTTGTTTTAATTAAATAAAAAAAATAACACATATTCTAAAAAAGCCCCCTACCCTTCTTATCACACACACACACATTGGCCCATACACACACTACCCTCATACACACATACACTGCCCCCACACACACATTGCCCTTCACATACACTGCCCCCCTAACACACACACTGCACCCCTGACATACACTGCCACCCTAACTCACACACTGCAACCTTCACGCACACACACACTGCTCACACACTGTCCCCCTTACACATTGCACCACTCACACACACCACTGCTCCTATGTCCTACTACAGCCCCATTTCCCAGCAGACTTCAGGTAAGTTTTCAAACTGTTCTTAAACTGTTTGACTTCTTACTCTGGGAGGGGGTTCTGGTACTTTTGGCACCATAACCACTACACTGAGCTGCAGTGGTGATTGTGTCTGGATTATTTCTTTAAATAATATACAAGTGCCCCTCCCGAAATCAGGCTCTGGATCCACCACTGGGTGGTGTCTGATAATGTACGCCAGTGGCTTCAAGGACAGGACAAACAGTAGTGGGGACAGGGGGCACCATTGTAAATGTTGAATGGGGTGGACAGGAAGCCTGCATTAGTTACCTGGGCTGTCGGGGCATTGCAGAGGGCCATAATACCAGAGATTATTGGCGGGGTGAAGCCAAAAGTGGGCAGGACGTAGTCCCAGTTCAGTCTGTCAAAGGCCTGTTCTGCGTCGGGTGCAAGGAGAAGACCTTTGCCTTGTGTGGTATGTATATGTGTGAGGATATTTAAAATTTTCCTGGTATTATCCAAGCCTTGTCTTGTTCGTATGAAGTCAGATTGATCATTGTGTGTTAATCTTGGGAGGATGTTGGACAATCGGTTGGCAAGGAGTTTGGCGTAGATTTTAACATCCCCATTTAGGAGGGTGATGGGTCTGAAATTTTGGCATTGTGTCAGGGTCTTGCCTGGTTTCGGTAAGGTGGAAATGTGGGCCCGTAGCATCTCTGGGGGCAAGGCCCCCTTCGAGAAGCAGTTGTGGAAAAGTGTACTTAGGTGTGGGGATAGGATGTGTGTGTATGTTTGGTAGTATAGGTTAGTGTAGCCCTCTGGGCCGGGTGCTTTGTGTTTGGGTAATTGTTTGATTGCTTTCTCTATTTCTGCGATAGTGAACAGCGTGGAGAGAGAGTCAGTGTCTTCAGGAGACAACTTGGGGAGACAAGAAGTCTTGAATGTCGCTTGCGGGGGTCGATGTAGTTCCTGGGTCCTCTTTAAGGTTATATAATGTGCTGTAGTAGGAGGCGAATGCATTTACAATGTCTTGTGGGTTTGTAAGTTTCTGTTTGTAAGTTGTGTGAACATACGCTATCTTTGAGTGATTGTTGCATGCTTTGCGCTGTGCGGCTAGCAGTGCCCCTGCTCGATTTCCTTGCGTAAAAAAGTTATATTTGTAGCGCCTAAGCATATATGTAGTTTTCTCTAACTCTAGGTCTCGGAGCTTGGTTTGTAGCATGAGGAGTTTATTTTGAAAGACCTGCATAGGGTCTGTCTTATCCTGTGTGTAAGGTCCGTTATCTCTGAGATTAAGTCAGTGTACACTTTAAGCCGTTGTTTTTTAGCATAGCTGCCTGCTTTGATTAGGAGGTCTCTTATGACAGCCTTGTGTGCTTGCCAAATTGTGGGGTCATGTTAGTGTGGAAGTAGGAGGTTAGATCTGATTTGTGTGTCGAGTCTTGTAGGAGGGAGCTTTTAAGTCTCCATGTTTCTTTGCCTGCAGTGAGAAAATTTTCCCATAGTGCCAGAGCTATCGGGGCATGGTCGGACCAGGTGATCAGACCTATTTGGGCCGCCTGTACCTTGTGCATCATTGTGGTTGGTATAAGGAACCGGTCAATCCTGGTGTATGTGATATGTGCTGGGGAGTGAAAGATTTAGTCTCGTTCCAGGGGGTGGAAGTTATGTTGCAGGATTTGGTTGCACTGTAGGGACGTTGTTCTGCTTTGTTTGCGTGCAGACGTTTTGGCTAGCTTATGGGTGGACGTGTAGTCAAGGGAGCAGTCTAGGAGGAAGTGTGTGTCTCCCCCAATGATGACTTCTCCACATCTATACATGATGGCCAAAGCAAATATTTTGTCTGAGATTTCCGTTTGATTTGTGTTCAGCCATACATGTTGATGAGCGTGTACGGTTAGTTATTAATATAGCATTGGAGCAGTAGATACCGTCCATTTTTATCACAAATTTTTTTGAACAGTGGGAATGCCACCTCTTTCCCTATCAGGATTGATAACTCCCATTTTTTCGCCTTATAGCATGAGCGAAAGTCATGGGGAAACTTTTTGGAACAGAATTTGGGTCTGTTGCCCCATGGAAAATGGGTCTCCTGGTAGAAGGCTATGTGGGCTCTATGTTTCCTTGCCTCTTCCAGTGCCAGCCTCCATTTATTCGGGGAGTTTAGGCCCTTAGTGTTGAGGGATAGTATATTGAGTGTCATTGTGGAGGGGGGTGTTGGGTAGCTAAGTTTAAAAAGATGTAGGCTGTGTGGTCCTCTATATTACCAGGTCTACCAGTGTATCTCTTATGCCATAGTGCTGTGAAGCTCGGACCCCTTCAGACAGGGCCCAGTTGTGAAGGGACCCCTCCCAAGCTGTGGCAGTAGCAACGAGCAACATACATGTGACCGTTCGGCCTGCCGTGTATCTTAGCATAGAGGCGGAAGGGAGTGAATCCATACTGTCCTGTTAAGGGATTATTACCAATTAATGGGCTATGGCTCCTGTACTGTAGGTTAGGAGGTGTGTTGTCTTGAACATAAAGTAATTTTGTCATTTATGTAACCTTGTGATGCGGTTTACTCCAAGAGTGCCTCAAGGGCAATGTGTGGGGAAGGAGGTAGCAGGGGGGACAAAATATATACTGTATACGGTCAAATAAAACAATTGAGCGATCAGAACTATATACAGAAAACCATCAGTGGATGTGCCTTGTGGCTTGGAGGGTAACGACATGGCTCCAGTGAGCCTAGTGGGGTGGTGGCTAGCAACAGATTACTCAACCCTTAGTAGCTTAAAGGGGTTGTGTATGCCCCGGTCCCCTGCGTTGCCGCAACGGCTGGGTCCAAGTTTTAGAGGAACAAGAAATAACTTATAAAAACCGTCCGGTGACCTCAACAGATGAGGGTAACGGGCTATCGTGCCCAGATGTGTAAGAGAGGAGCATTGTGTATGCAGTAAAGTCCCTTAGCTGTGGTTACTACGCTCCAGTCATTTGGAACCTTGAGTGGAGATCTTGTAGGTTCTTTTCTGCTGATTTGGTCATGTTGCTGCGGTATGGTGATACCCCATTCTTTGAGAAGTTTCTTTCCTTTGTCCACATTAGTGATGTGACGGTCTGTGTGGTTGTGTCGGATGATCAGGCGGCCTGGAAACCCCCATCTGTATAAAATGTTGGTGCCCATCAGAGCTTTTGTGATGGGAGTTAGTTCCTTTCTCTTCAGCAGGGTGGATGCCGAGAGGTCGGTGAAGATATGAACTCCTCTGAATTTTTCCAATTAAGCCAGTGTATTTCTGGAGGCTTTCATTATTTTTTCTCTAGTTGTGTAGTAATGGACGATTGTGTCCCTTGGGACCGAAGCTGGGAAGCTTTTCGGTTTTGACAACCGGTGTATGCGGTCAATTAGGAAGTCTTGCTGTGTGAGGTCTGCTTCCAAGGTTTGGAAGAGGTATGTAGCATATGCCTGAAGGTCTTGAGGTAGGATGTCTTCCGATATTCCGCGGAGCCGGATGTTGCGCCTGTCCCTGTCCTCATGGTCTGCCACTTTATCAAGGCGGTCTAGTTTTGCGCTTATCTCCTTACAAGCATCCGCTAATGTATTATGTGCAGAAATGATTTCCTCTGTTTTATCTTTCGAGATGTGCCATTCTGTCACCCAGCACTTATATATCTGTTCTTATGTCACGCGCCATTTTCGAGATGTCTGTATGGCTTGTAGCATTTTGTGGACCGAGAGGTTTGTGGCAGGAGCTGCTTATGGCTCGGAGTGCGATGTAAGGTCACTGTGGTCTGAGTAGGCCGCTGGTGATCGTGGCATGTCAGCGCCATCCTGGGCCTGAGAGCGTGGCGATATCAGTTCCGAGATTTGCAGTAAGGTTTGTTTGTGCCTCGTTTTTTTCACTGATTACGGTGCCATGCAGGGTGAGGGAACCGTCAGGGTCCACCACGGTCAGTTTGCGCATACAGTGCTGGTATATTTGCTGAGTTGGGTCGGTTTGTTGAGGAGCTAACAGCTCATGCGACCGTCTCGTCGAGCCGTTAGACCACGCCCCTCCAATTTTTGTTTTTTTAAATGAGATGCATTTGTGACCAAGGTCTTTTTGGCACATTTGTGTTCATTACACCATAATTTCACCCATCCATACTATAAATCTTTTTCTAGGAAAAATAAGGATTTATTTTGATATCCTATATGGCTTGTACATTTACATGGCATAACTGTACCATGTTACTGTAGTTAGCAACCGAAGTTGGAAAAGTTCTTGGTACAATTATGTCAGTATATTTAAATGCACAAGAGGTTAAATGTACTCCCCAGGAACAGTGTGTGTGTATTAAGGGTTTCAAGTGGTGTTTAACATCTCCAGTAGGAATACAATGCAATTCAAAATATACCACAAATTTTGCAAGACCTCAGAGGACCACATCTATAGGAACATATTCCAGTGGTTATAAACAAAAAATATTTTAATATTTTCAAGAAAACCCGCAAGTGCCTCCTTCCTGACAGCCCAAGCACTTCCAAGGATGGAATCTGTTTCTTCTGCATAGGCAAATACAAATTGTGAGCCTTTCATCAAGAGGCATACATGCACAATGACATCACCATACCTTTGCTGATGTAGGTTCTAGCACCATTTACTTAGTTGTCCCCCATAGAGCAGGGTTATTCAAAGGGTCCCTGTGGTTAGACATGACCCCCAGAATCATGAATTTGCTTGGCCCTGATTATCATCCATATATTAGAATCTTAATCCTTCTTTGGGCACCTTAGGTTGGCCAGCCCACCATTGCCCCCTACTGTGATATATTATATTAGATGATTATGATAAAATGTCCAACACATAAAACTTGTTTGTGGCAAGACAATAGAGCAGAGAAGTATGAGTCAGCTTATGATTGCTATAGCTTCAGATGATGATTATTTAGAATGGCACTACAGGTAAGTAAGTCTGTTGCAAGAATAAATTTGGTAAGTATGTATATAATGGCGCTTATTATAACTTATGTGACTTGATGTGGAGTTTTAGCAGCTTTTAGCACTTTGTGAGAACTCCCAATATGACCCACTGACATATAAATGGCTTTTCTATTTATTGGGGTATTTTTTGTTTATAAGTAAGTCTGTGTACCTACTTCAGCCCTGAAGATCCAACAGAACCATACACTTCTACTTATAATGTGGTTTTCTATCAGATCACTCTTGGATACTGTGTTCTGAGTTTCACATTACTCAAGTGTCCTTCCCTTCACTTCTTGACTTGTCCAAATAAGACTGCTAGCAATTAATGGAATGGTCGTGACCAAAAGTAACATATACACTGGAGATTTAGCCAGGCAATAACAAATGCCATTCTGGGGTTAATCACCTTGGAAAACAATAGAATGTAATTTCTCATTCAAAATTGCCTTTGATGTCAAATACAGAGTTGCCTAAAGACACCCAGACCACTTCACCTCAATAACCCTGTAGTTTTAATTTTTCATATAAAAAACTGCAATATTGTAGAAACTGTAGTGCTTCCATTGCCGGGTTTACACAACTTTAGTGGCCATCTTCCAGCTACTAGAGGTCCTTCTTCCACTGCAACAACAAAGTGATACTCTATTCTGCTCCATCTCCATCTATCACCAATGGGTGGGATCGGGGGGACACTGTGTTCCCACATTATTATTTTTGATATCCCCTATAATTCCCCCCCCCCCAATTATTTTTAATAGACTTCACCTGTGCCATGGGTGGGGGCAGAAGAGGAAGACTACGTCCCAAACATTTAGTTTAATAGGCCCCAATCACAAGGCACTGGTGGGGGCATGAGAGCACACTATCCTCCACCCCAGTTATTTATTTAAATAGGTGCCCCTGTACAAGGTCTACTTTTATTTGATTAGCGATTGCTGAGCAATAGCCGCTGGCTGCTCTCTGTTTAGTATACATATCCCTACTCACATTACAAGGAAGGGAGCCACGAGCCTGTAGCTCCCTCCTTATAATAAATCAAACAAACAAAAGAACGAATTGAAGGATGAAATCTCACCCAACAAGCAATTTGGTCTTTTTTTCATTTGTTGTAATTTATATTAGTTTATTTGTCTTTCAAACGAATGGACAAATAGCCCAAATTCAGACAAAAATATGTTGGTCCGAAAATAAATACCCAAGTCTACAAGTAACTAATTACGTTTTTTTCACAGCCAATGAAGCTATGTGAGAACAGAGGATAACTGACAATGTTGGCC